CGGTTGTTGGTGATGCGCAGGGACTCGGGCCGCGGAGAGACCGGGGCGCTGCTCTTCCCTGTGCCACCGCACTGCTGTGAAAGCGCAGCTCCGTCTGCAGAAGCTGTGGGGTAAAGGCAGCCGGGCCCCCCCCTCCCCTGCCACGGAACACCCGGGAAGGGAGAAGGAGGCCGGTGTGGCACCGAGCGTGGGGGACGGCGGTGAGGGCGGGTCACCGCCCCACGGGGCGGAGCCGGATGGGCGGAGTTAGACCAATCCCGGCGTTGCGCGGGACACTTAAGCCTCTCCCCGGCCCTGCAGCCGAGGGGCCCGCGGCTGCCCTGGTGAGCCCTGGTGAGCTCCGGGAGGGCGGAGCGCTCGCAGGGCTCCTGAATTGCACGTAGTAAGCAACACTTCGGCTTCAAGTTAGCCCAGGTCTCCCATGCAGGCTGCACCGACCGTCCGCGTTTCGCAAACGGCAGCTTTCTTACTCCGGTATAAATCCCTACCAATCCCGTTTCAAGATTTGGTTGTGCTGCTGTGATTGCTCTAGTGTTCCAGCTCCTTTTTGAGAGTAAGTGGGTGGCTCTTAAAAGAGCCTTTGGGTTTATTTAAATGAGTAGACTAATTGCTTCTCAGTCTTTTTACTTCTTTTTGCCTTCTTTGCTGTGGCAGCTTTGGGCTTGGCCGCTTTAGGTTTGGCTGCTTTGGGCTTCACTGCCTTGGCCTTAGCCGGGCTCTTTGCTGCCTTCTTGGTCCGACCTGCCTTGGCAGCCTTCTTAGGGCTCTTAGTAGCCTTCTTGGCAGCAGCAGCCACCGGTTTCTTGGCTTTCTTGGGACTCTTCTTCACTGCAGCAGCTTTCTTAGGCTTCTTGGCAGCGCTGACGGGCTTCTTGGCCGCCGGCTTCTTGGGCTTGGCTGCGGGCTTTTTCTTAGTTGCTTTCTCCTTTGTCTCACCCGGCTTCTTGTTCAGTTTGAAAGAACCAGAAGCACCGGTGCCCTTGGTCTGTACTAAGGTACCTTTGTTGACGAGGCTCTTGAGCCCCAGCTTGATACGACCGTTGTTTTT